CCCATGCCAGAAATCCCATGGAACTGCTGACACCCACACCAGAAATCCCATGGAGCTGCTGACACCCGTGCCAGAAATCCCATGGAGCTGCTGACTCCCATGCCAGAAATCCCATGGAACTGCTGACACCCATGCCAGAAATCCCATGGAACTGCTGACACCCATGTCAGAAATCCCACAGAGCCATCAACACCCATAGCAGCAATCCCATGGAACCACTGAAACCCAAGTCAGCAATCCCATGGAATCACCGACACCCAAGTCAGAAATCCTATGGAGTCACCCACATCCATGTCAGCAATCCCATGGGTTCACCCACACCAGCAATCCTGTGGGGTCACCCACTCAGCAATCCCACGGGATCACCCACACCCACTCGGGACTCCCATGGGATCACCCACACCCATGTCACCAATCCCAGGATCACCCACACCCACTCAGCAATCCCATGGGATCACCCACACCCACTCAGCAATCCCATGGGATCACCCACACCCATGTCACCAATCCCACGGGATCACCCACACCCATGTCACCAATCCCACGGGATCACCCACACCCATGTCACCAATCCCACGGGATCACCCACACCCACTTGGCAATCCCACGGGATCACTGAGACACGAGGCTGGAAAAGGCCCCCACGAGTGGCCCGAGTCCAGCTGTCCCCCCAAGCCCAGCGCCCTGGTGACCCTGAACCACGCTCTCAGAGCTGCTCCCCCACGTTTTCGGAGCCCTCTCAGGGATGGTGACCCCACCACTACCCTGGCAGCCCCCCGGATGCTTTACAAACGTCTCTGTCGGGAAATGCCTCTTGATACCCAGCCCAAACCTCCTCTGGCTTCACACTGACAGCCTATTGACTAAGCCAGATCTCTTTAACAACTAACATGTGCAAGGCTTTGCTAATTAGCTATGCTAATTTATGTTAAAAATGATAAAGACCAGCCAAGAAACTTCAAAATGAAAAAAAAAAAAAAAAAAAATCTCAAAGGTTATAAGGACCATTTGAGGCACTGGCAAGATAAAGGTGCTGGACACCAGCACAGAACATGCCAAGCAGACACACAGACACGACATCCCCATCCCCCAAACCAAACCGAGCACAAATTAGGGAAGAAAAATGCTAATGATCTAATGAAGGCAGGGCTTCCCACAAGCAAGAGCTCATATGCCCTGATCACCATCTGCAGCCTCTCCATCTTTTTCCATTTTCCAGTTCTGCATGAACCCCAGCACAGCCCATGAGAACTGACAGCATCAGGCAAAACAGCACAAAACCAGACAAAAAATGTTTCCCTGTCACACTGGCTCATATGCTGAACTTCACTTGACATTACCTCCTGGAGAGAATAAAAAGGGGAAATTGAGAACAAATGTCGCTGCTAAATGATTAAAAAAAAAATCCAACACATTTTTGAGTGCAGCATTAGAGCAGGCTGCAGGTCAGAACAAAGCAGTGGCTCCCTCTGAGCCCCTCACATCTGAAGTGCTTGGCCAACTTCAGCCAAATCTGAAAGAGTGCTAAAACACACGAGGCTGAGTTTCTTCATTAAAGAAACCTGTGAGGAGAGGCAGCTATTCCATGGAAGTGCCCTTATCCCAGCATCTCCAACACCACAATCTGCTGCATAAAGAATGGCACAAAGAATTCTGTCAAGGTGTTCTTCTCCTAACTTAAAGCTTACCCCGTCCTTGCCCATGCAGCTTGGTGAAGGACAAACCAAGAAGGGTTTTACTTTGGCAAACGCTGCCTCCAAACATCTTGGAGCTCCATTTCCAGTTTTATTGATGGCAGGTCGGAGTGGCTCTGCTGCCTGCTCCAAACCAGCAGAACCTCCAGCCCAGGACCTGCCTGCCTTCCCATCACTGCTGCTCAAGCATTTCCACCCCAGAGCAGCCACAGGTGACTCTGGAGAGCATCATCCTGCTGGGACACAACCTCCCAACAAACACACTGGAAACATCCAAAGTTCACACCAGCTGGAAGAGGTTTTATCTTAATTAAAGGACATAAGTGGGAGGGAAAAAAATAGTGCTAAATCCCTCAAAAGCCTAAATCCAGGTTAAAATTGGATATTTAATTTTTGCCCTTCAGCTGGCAGCCAAGCTGCCTGATGGGGAGCTCTAAATGACTTTTATTCCTAGGTTACACAACAAAAAGTTGTGTACATGCTGGAAGAGAGCAGATTTTGCAGCAAAGACCCCTCCACCTCCACACCCCCAGCGAGGCAGAGTCACCAGAGCTGTCCTCCCTTCCAGTGCAGGGAGGGAATCAATTTTAGAGTGATTCTGGGCACTTTCACCTGGCAATTTCTAAATCACCAGCTCTTAGAAGGCAGACCAATGTCTTTGTGCTTTCCTGAACCCATCCTGGGGAAAATGCTATTCCTTGCAGTGCTATTTTTTTTATTTCAAATCTTTAATTGTTTCTGAGCAGTAGGTTGTGTCATTTAGGGCCAAAGCTCTGCAGCCCCCTCACTAAAAAAGACTAAACAGAAGTTACTGTTGGTGTCAGCTCAGCTGGACTGATAGTCAAGCATCCACAAGTGTAGCTAATAAATAAATCTGGTTTTCAGTGCCCTACCCTGAGATGCTTTGGGCAGGCAGGTGTGGTTAATGGGGGCATGAGCAACAGTTGTGGGGGAGACAGGAGTGTGAAAACAGAAAGAGCCCGAAGTTGCATTGAGGAGCACTGTTAAAACAGAATAAGTAGGTCTGAGTCCTGAACCTGCACCTCCCTCAGATCCCAGCAGAAGCAGGACAGCAATCCAGACCCCTCTGAACCCACCAGACGAGTGGGACTGTAAGGGGGTTCAGAACCAAGAGAGCCCAACGTGAACCACCATAAATCACAGGCAAAAAGAGGAAAGGAAAAAGGGCAGAAGAGTCATCACAGGATCTGGCTTTACTTATTGAAAGGCACAGTTCCAAGGCGAGGGGTTTAAAACCCCAATTTACCAAGGGAAACGCCATTTGACAAATGCAAAAAGGAGCAGATGCTGCTCGTGTGCAGGCAGCATGGCAGCTGAGCTCTGCACACACGGCCGTGCCAGCAGAGATTCGGAGGACAGCAGACAGCCCAGCTCCTGCAGGGATGGACGGGGCTTCTGGAGCCAGCACCTCCTCTGCTGGGGACTGAACAGCCTCTAGGAAAGCTCCTTTTCCCCTCCGTACAGGCAGAACTAGCTCTCCTTGTCCTCTGGTCTATTCACACAGAAGTCTGGAGAACGTGCTGGGTTGGAGACTCCTGTGGAAGCTGCTCCGACGCCTGTCCCAGGTGATCCGGGCACTGGGGCAGAGGCACCACGCTGCTGTCCCCAGAGCAGGACTAAAAACTCGTGCACCCCCAGAGAAGAAATTCTCTATTCAGCTAACTCAAATCACAAATCTCCCTGAATACCACGGACCCGAGACATGGCACCAGGGTGCCACGAGCCACCTGAGCTGTGTGGTCACCCCAGCCTCATTCCACCACCTCGGCTCCACCACGCTAACACCGGAGGACAAAATCTTCCATCACTGCTGTTCTTCTGTGTCAAAAACAAATAATTCCGAGCTCTCTAGTGAGCTGATGTAGGAGAACTGGAACCAGGCTTGGGTTACCAGCCAAGGACACCACAGATCCTGTTCCTCACACCTAGTGCCTTAAATTGAGAGAGCAAGCTCCTAGCAGCCCACTTGTGCAGAATCAGGGGATTTTTCAGCACTTCACACACCCACATGCTTGCAGGTTGGTCATTAATGTGATTTATAAACCACATTCCCATACAGACCAGTCCCATTCTGGAGTACTGGAAAGCAGCAGCAGCTCCTCTGTCCAAGCCCTCAGCCCTGAGCTTTCACCCACGCTGGTAACTCGGGACAAGCCTAAACCACGAGCCTTGATCTTGCACTTTCAAGCCAGCACAGGTTTTACAAGAGTTTAACTGTTTCCCTGTGGTATTAAAATAAAGCAGGTCTAGGAACGCTCACTCGTACTTCACAGTATAACTGGAAAGCAGCTCCCTCAAACTCAGGCCATCCCCAAAAGCGAGACAAGAGCCCCCAAATCTTTATGTCAGGGTGACTTTAGCAGACACGAGTCTCTGCAGGAGCTGCTCTCACTGGGGCAGGACCAGGCAGGAGCTGCACACCCCATCCATGGCCAGGGAGAACCGGAGCCCCCAGGAGAGGCGGCTGCGACCACGGCCGCGGAAAAACGGGCCAGAAAACCCACCCGGGGACGGGCCGAGCACTCGAAGCCCTCCAGAGGCACAGCTTGTGGCACAGGAGACGGAGAGCCGAGAACAAGGGAGGAGAGGAGCAGCCCCGGCCAGGAGGGGAGGTTGTGAGCAAAGCGTGTCAGAAAACTCACGGGGAGCAAGCGAGCTCTCAGAAACCGAGCGCTCGGAGCCACCCGGAGTCACGGGTTCCTGCAAACGGGAGAAAGACACCCGAGCCAGCCTTTTATCCCGCTCCAGCCCGGTGGGAAGCTGCATTACCGGGGAGCGCCGAAGCTCCCCCGGCGCACGGCTCGCCCCGGTGTGCCCGGTGTGCCCGGTGTGCCCGGGCCGCGCGGACACGTGGCCGCGCCGTGCCCGGGGCTCCGCGGCACCGGACAGCGCCGGCACCGGGGCCAGGCCCGGGCCGGGCTGAACGGACCGAGCCCCCGGCTGCGGCGGGGACACAGCCGGGCGGGGCGCGGCGGAACAGCCCCGCTCGCTCGGGGGGGCTGATTAACCAGTTAATTAATGGATTAGCGCTCCGGCAGCAGCCAGGGCTGCGGCGGCGGCGCGGGCGGTCCCCGCTCCCCGCCCGGGCCCCGCCGCGGGCCGGGCCGGCCCCGCGGCCGCAGCACTGACCTTGGTGTCCCCGTTGCACAGGGCCATGGGGGCGGCGGGCAGCGCGAAGAAAGGGCCGCGAGCAGAGCGGCCGATGAGCTAATGCCGCCCGCGGAGGAGGAGCCGCCCGGCGCGGCCGCCCCGGCGGAAGGGGAGGAGCGGCGGCGGGTCAGGGGCGGGACGGCGCCGCGGGAACCGGGGAGCCCGGAGCCCCGGCGGGGGTGGCTCCGGCGGCTCGCTTTGCTCCGTTATCAGGGTAAAGACAATCAGAGCTTGGCAGTGAGTGCGTTTGTGTGCGGGAGCGTCTTATGGAGTCATGGGATCGCTGGTGCTTTGGGTTGGGAGGTTAAAGCCCACCTGGGTTGGGAGGTTAAAGCCCACCCCGTGCCATGGGCAGGGACACTTTCCATAGACCGGGTCCGCCCCGTCCCGTCCGTCCTGGCCCTGGACACTGAACCTGCTGTGCCCGCTCGGTGATTCCCCAGCGCGCACCGGAGAACGTGACTGCATCCGTGGAACCCTCCTGGAACGGTCCCGGGGCGCTTTTGATGCCTTTCCCCGAACGTCAGTGTGAATAGAAGGAATGAAGGAAGGGGTGAATGAAGGAATTCTGGTTAAGATGAAATCACGCACCAGCGTCTGGTTCTGCTGTCGGATTCCAAACTGTTCTGTCCTGAGGCTGATAGAAATGTACAGGTTTTGTTCAAAATCGGGGTTTGTGGTCTGTTGTTTTTTGGGATGTGTCATTCTTTTACAGTTCTATTTACATTGGCATTCAAGCAGGGTCATCTCAGAGCACATGGCACAGGATTGTGTCCAGACAGGTCTGCAGTAGTCCCAGCGAGGAGACTGCACACCCTCTCTGGTCTCTGTTCCAGTGCTCACAGGAAAGGTCTCCCTCCTGCCGAGGTGGAACTTCCTGGGCTCAGTCCCTGCCCGTGGCTCCGGTGCCATTGCTGTGCCCCGGCGCAGAGCAGAGTTCTGACGCTCCCTGCACTCAGGGACAGTCAGGGCTGAGGGCCCCTCTCTGCCGGGGCTGAACAGGCTGAGCTCCCTCGGCCTTTCCTGGGCACGGAGCCGCCCCAGTGATCCCGGTCCCGTTCCCGGTTCCGTTCCCAGTTCCCGTTCCCGGTTCCGCTCCCGCTGCCCCTGCCCCGTCAATCAGGGTTCAGGGGGCGGTGCTACGCGTGACGTCACGCCGGTGCACCAATGAGGCGCGGCCACGCCTGGCGCGCGCGGGGCGGGGCGGTTCCCTCAGCGCGGCCGCGCCGGGGCCGTGCCGGGGCCGCTCCCGAGCCGTGCCGGGGCCGCTCCCGAGCCGTGCCGGGGCCGCGCCCGAGCCGCGCCGGGGCCGCGCCCGAGCCGCGCCGGGGCCGCGCCCGAGCCGCGCCGGGGCCGCTCCCGAGCCGCGCCGGGGCCGCGCCGGGGCCGCTCCCGAGCCGCGCCGGGGCCGCTCCCGAGCCGTGCCGGAGCCGCGCCGGACATGGCTCCCGCCATCGCCGCCGAGCAGGGCGGCCGGCAGCGCCGCGCCGCCACCCGCCAGCACAGCCTGGAGCTGACGGACGAGCCGCCCCGCCACGGGCTGCCCGGGGACACCGAGGCGCTGCTGCCGGCGCGGGCGCGGGGGTACCGCGCGGAGCTGGGCAGCATCCTGCTGCTGCTGGTGCTGTACGTGCTGCAGGGCATCCCGCTGGGGCTGGCGGGCAGCGTGCCGCTCATCCTGCAGAGCAAGAGCGCCAGCTACACCGACCAGGCCTTCTTCAGCTTCGTGTTCTGGCCCTTCAGCCTGAAGCTGCTGTGGGCGCCCTTGGTGGACGCCGTGTACCTGCGGGGCTTCGGCCGCCGCAAGTCGTGGCTGGTGCCCACGCAGTACGTGCTGGGGCTCTTCATGATCTACATGTCCACGCAGGTGGACGCGCTGCTGGGCGACGGCCGCGGCCGCGGCCCCGACGTGGCGGCCCTGACCGTCACCTTCTTCCTCTTCGAGTTCCTGGCGGCCACGCAGGACATCGCGGTGGACGGCTGGGCGCTCACCATGCTGTCCCGGGAGAACGTGGGCTACGCCTCCACCTGCAACTCGGTGGGCCAGACGGCCGGCTACTTCCTGGGGAACGTCCTGTTCCTGGCGCTGGAGTCCGCCTCCTTCTGCAACAAGTACCTGCGCTCGGAGCCGCAGCCGCGGGGCATCGTCACCCTCGCAGGTACGGCCGGAGTGCCGGGCAGAGCCGGGGAGTGCCTGCTTCCGAAGGGACCAGAGAGATTTCCTGCTCAGGGACACCTCCCTGCTCCAGCCCCAGTGTCCAGCCTGGCCTTGGGCACTGCCAGGGATCCAGGTGCAGCCCCAGCTGCTCTGGGCACCCTGTGCCAGGGCTGCCCACCCTCCCAGGGAAGGATTTTTTCCTAGTAAAAACGGTTATATCTTCCTCAGGATGCTTCTTTCCCCGTGCCTGGACCCTTCTGTGGTTTGATGTTGGGAACCGAACAGGTTTGGTTTGTCCCTTGCCCCGTGTGAAAGCACAGCCTGCTTGGAGGCTGGCAGAGCCCACTGCTGCATGTACTGGACTTGGAATTTTCCTGGGCTAAAGTGTGTGGAAAACCTGCCTGTCATTATCTAGGCTGACCCAAGCACTTTGGAGGAACTCTTTTTTTTTTTTTTTTTCCTCCTAGTGTAATGGCCGTGGAATAGATTACTCTTTAAAAAAAGCAAGCCAAAGTCTCCATGTGGGAAGATGAAAGGGGAACTAAAAAAAAAAAATCTTCCGATATGATAGAAGTGAAGGTGTTCGGGGTTGAGCATGTAGCCAGTTTCTGAAGGAAGGCCTTGTTTTAGTAAATTAAGGAGGATTTGCTTTTTCTTTAGCAAATTAAATGGAGCGTGATAATCCAAGCATAACTAGCTGTTAGTGGAGGGATGTTTCTGTTTGCTGGGGTTTGGGATTTTTCTCAGAAAGGTTCTGTGTGGTGGTTGATGTTGGGGGTATTACCCTGGAGATGCTTCAAGGGCAGCTGGTTTGGTTGCAAGTTTGAGGGAGGACAGGAAATGCTGGCAGCACTTCTGGCTGCAGCCTCGGGGTGACTCTGGCAGCAAAGACAAGATCCCCGTGGTCTCAGCCTCTGCTGCCCCTCACACTGTGCCACCTCAGAGCTCAGGTATGCCAGAACAGGCTGGCATTGTGTGAAGGGGAGCTTTGCTTTCTGTCCTGCCCCTTCCTCAGGGGTGAATCAGGACAGCAGTTTCCACAGCTGCTGTGCTTACCTGGTCTCTGCAGCTCTCAGCGCTGCTAACCAGTCTCCTCTTTGCTGCCTGCCGCCAGCCTCGTGCCTGGCCTGTGTCAAGGGGCACAGAGTGGCCCTCCGAGTGTCCCAGCTGGTTCCTGGCTGTCCCTGGAGCTGTGCAGCTCCTGGGCTGGCGTGTCCATCCCTCTCACTGCAGTGCACACTGACGTCTTTGCTGCTGATGCAACTTGCAGCCTCTGCTGTTCAGACAGCTTGGCTTGGCTGCACTTCCCTCACTGCTCAGGGCTTTGGTTGTTTGGGTTTTTTTCCTCTCAAGGCTGTTTGTATAAATAAAAGTGTTGTTTTTAAAAGATATTGTCCCCAGACCCAAACGGCACCAATGCCACCTCCTTAACCTGCCCTGGAGTATTGATGTGGGTGGAGTGAGAACAGCAAATGACTGACACTGTAGTTGCAGGACATAGTTTTTCAAGTAGTTAAACTGTAAAAAATTTCTGTTTCTCAGTCATGTGAGTGGCACAGTTTGATGTTTCCTTGGAGCAGCTGAGAGCAGCAGGAGTAACCAGCTCACCCAGGAGCACAGGGGCTCACTGGTCCTTGCCCTGGCTGTAATGGGCTTGTGATGAGCAGGTTTGGCAGGTAAAGCAGCAGAAAGCTTCACTGCTGGAAAAGGTCAGTGTTCTCTGCCAGCTCAGATCTCTGAGCACTTTTGTTGTAGGCTGAGCCCAGTGCCAGGGAAGGAACAGGTCAACACTCCATGATCCAGAGGAGCAGCACCCCGAGGGAACACTGGAGCTGGTTTAGGTGGATATCAGGACAGGCTCTTCCCCCAGAGGGTTCTGGCACTGCCCAGGCTCCCCAGGGCATGGGCACGGCCCTGAGGCTGCCAGAGCTCCAGGAACCTTTGGGCAGCACTGCCAGGGATGTCTTGTGCCAGGCCAGGAGCTGGGATGAGCCTTGTTAACTTCAGGAAATAATATGGACAAATGTAAACCCATCATCAAATTCACCAAACCAAAGGCAGCGTTGGGCTGTGTCAGGCTGAAGTGCCAGAGGAGGAAACAGGAAAAATCCTTCTGTGGGCTGATTGCCCTGGGTTTATTTAGCACTTGCTGTTCAGGTGACTTCAGTTTTTTTTTTTTTTCTTTAAAGCAGGGGGAGCTCCTTGGCTGGCTTTGTGATTCCTGCCTGGTTTGCCCTTTCCAGCGTGAAGGACAGGGAAAGAGTGAACACAGGACAAAGGTGCCCTTAAAGGTGCCACTTACCTGTGCCAGGGACTGTGGAGCACCCCTCCTCCTGAGAGGGCATCCTGGGTACCTGTACCTGGGTACCGTCTTCAGGCTGTTTTCCAGCCTCATCTATCCCTGATCTAATTCAAAAATTTGTTTTGCCCCATCTCAGTGGTTTATTTTGTTACTGGCAGTGTAGCTGCAGAAACAAAGTAGGGATGGGGGAAGCAGCAGTGGTGGGACCAGAAAGTTTGTCCTTGAAATCCCTTATGTAAACTCTAATTTCAAAGTTTTTCTGCTTGTAGCTTGTTAGTGAGGTTCATTGTATTTGAAAGGAAATGTACCTTATTTTTGTGTAAACTGCCTACAGCCTCAAGAAACCCATTTTTATTTGTCTGAACTACTATATATAGATATATATGATAGATTTTTTTTCTTGCTTTGCTTTGTTGCTGATGCAGCCCCTGCAGTGCTGTGCTGCAGCTGACAGGGCTGGCCTGATCAGGAGCACTCATGTGATGATGCTCAGAGCTATTTCTATCCCCATCCTTGCACTGTGCGTTTCTCACTGCAGTGATAATGCTCAGGGTTATTATTAGAGAGCTGCTCCTCTACATCCTTTGTAGCCAGCAGCTGTGATTAGTGGGACTCTCAGAAAATACATCTTTCCTTGAGAATGTCTGTTCAGGGCACCGTGGTTTTTTAAGAGAGCAATCTGACAGTGTTGCTTGTGAGGTCGTGTTTATTTTAGGAAAGGGAGGAGCAGCAGAAATGGTGTGAAAAGCCTTTTTTTCTGTTACCTTGGGAATGAATGGTGGGACACCCCTGGAGCAGTCCTCGCACGTTTGTTCCACGCTTGCCGAGCCTGTTCCCCGCTGTGCAGGAGAAGCAGGGGATAACTGACCGAACCTTTGTCTCTGCCCTTTCTGCAGCCCTCGCTGCTCCTGCCCAGTGCCCCAGAGGCTGCTGGAGCTGCTTCGGACCGAATAAAGGCTGCTTCTGTCCCACCCCCTGCACATGGCTCAGTTCTTTCCTGGTCTGTCCTAGAGGCTGGGGATCGGATGATCTTGAACTGACCGTTCACTACATTAGAAGAACTCTCTTGGTGGTTTTTTCTGCCCCACATCCACGATTTAGCAGATCTGATCTGCCTAAAACAGAGCACTGGAATGCTGTCAAGTCTCCATTTCAGCCACACAAGTCTGAATACTCCTTAAAACTCTGTAACAAACTTTCTTCGGGCATCTTCACACTCCTAAATCCTATTTCCTGCAGGTGGGAGATGGATGTTAGATAGGGATGTAGAGCTGAGGCACAGGGTGGTTCCCTGGCTGCAGGGTAAGGGAGGAGCTGGGCAGGAGGTTCTTCCCTCTGTCTTCTAACTATTACATGTGGGTTTCCTCCTTTATCAGCCTGTAGTGGATGTGTGTGTAGTCCTACAACACATTCATTTTTGCCTCTTCCTCCTCCAACACGCTCACTGTGGTAATAATGAACCAAGCAGCAGGGAGGTGACCTGGTTTGCTGCTCCTGTGCCTCAGCTCCAGCAGGCACCTCCTTTCAGAGGAGGGCAGAGCTCTGTCACTCACTGTGTGTAGCTCTGTGCTTCTGGTTTGCTTTTGCTCCTTGTTTTTATTCCACTTTGATGATTAGGTTTATATTCTACAACTGTCAATCACGGCTGCTACAAAGGAATTTTGATTCTATTTTATTTTCCCCTCCAGATTTCCTGTTTTTCTGGGGAGCTGTCTTCTTAGTTACCACTACATTGGTTGCCTTTTTGAAAAAGGAAAACCAGGAGCTAATACCAGCAAAGGAAGAAACAAAAGGCATCACTGACACATACAGGCTACTATTCTCAATAGTCAAGATGCCAGCAGTTCTTACTTTCTGTCTCTTGATCCTCACTGCAAAAGTAAGTAAATACACTTAAGAGTTGTTAAATGCTGGCATCAGGGTGTAGAAGGCTGCTGAGTCCCCAGGATGTAACTTCGTTTTGCTGTTGGCTGTCACAAGAGTTGTGAATTTTCACATGAAATTCAAGCAAAATGGCTTATCTAATTGTGCTGAGCAGGGCTGTGCAGCAGAAAAGCTTTGTGTGAGCTTTTGTGTTTAACACAAGCATTGAAGAGAAGCTTGCTGGCAGTGTGGTATTAAAGTGAAGTACATTTCCAAACAGGCTGTGTAGCCTGCAGTTAAAAGGACAGAAAATGTTTCTTTTTAGCTCAGAATCCCCAGCTCTGTCCAAGCTGTTTCCATGGCTCCTGGTTGGACACTGAGGATGCCAGCAGCAGTGAAGGCACAGGAATGAGTGGCAGTGCTGCTTAATGTTCCTGGAATAGTTTTGGCTGTGATGACAGTAAGAGTGAACAAGTGTAGAACATGTGGAACTAATTTGGAAATCAAATCAGGGGCAGAAGTGACTTCAGTGACAGTGTGTTCTGTATCCCATTTCTCAATTTACGTGATAGGGAGTAAATTGAATTTCTAGCCAAACTCCCTGTTCTCCTCAGCTTATTTTTGTCTCCCTAACATTGCAGGTTGGGTTTTCAGCAGCAGATGCTGTAACAGGACTCAAACTGGTGGAGGAGGGAGTCCCCAAAGAGCACCTGGCTCTGCTGGCAGTTCCAATGGTTCCTTTGCAGATCATCTTGCCTCTGGTTATCAGCAAATACACAGCGGGCCCCCAGCCCCTGAACACCTTCTACAAAGCAATGCCTTACAGGTAAAGCCTCATTTTAGTGGAACACAGTAATAGGTGTGCTCAGTTTGTGTGTTCAGGTCACCTGTAGGGTTTTGTGTGTAACTTTCTGACTTCCAGGTCCAAAGAAGTGTGCCAGGATTGTCACGGTGAGTTGAACTGTCTGGTTCGTGCAGTGTCACTGTGTGGAAGCAGAGCATGAGGAGTTTGGGATGTGCATGTACAGCAGCATTAGAGCAGTGCTCTCCTGCTCCTAATTAACAATGTCACTGCTTGTCAAATATTTGAGATCTAATTCTGAGATAGAAATAGGTGTAACTCTTTGGATCTAAACTATTTTGATGTACTCACTACGATTGTTCGGTGGTTGCTTCGTGTTGGGGAAACACATGGGAAGAGTTACTTGGAATAACAAATCATCTTTCTCATCCCTCCAGGTTGCTTCTTGGCCTGGAATTCGCTTTCCTGGTGTGGTGGGCTCCTAAAGTAAAGCATGAAGGAGGATTTCCTGTCTACTACTATGCTGTGATGGTGCTGAGTTATGCTCTACACCAGGTAACACTCACAGTGTGGAGAGGGAAAATGATGTTCCCTGTCTTGTCCTGGGTCACACTGGAATCCCTCCAAGCCTGACCTGTTCTGTGTGGCAGGACTGACTTTGTGATACTCTTGCTGGTGTTTCTCCTCCCTGTTCCCTGTCCTCCACTGGACATCATCTGTGAGCTACTTTGAGTTTCCATGTCTAGCGTAGCTCCACAGATTCCTTTTTTCCCCAGACCCAGAAGCTCAAAAGCACAGAGGAGCTGGAGAAATCCCAGAACTGTGTCTGAGCTTGGTAGGCATGCTGATGGTTGTGCAAATAAATAAAGTTGTGATCCTGGTCCTAGGGAAAAAACTCAGTTGTTGGAGGAACATCATAATGGATCTGATCCAAAGACTTGGGAAACAAGCACCTTCTACAGCGTGGCCTTTGGATCAGAACTGGAATGCAGGGCTTCGAGAGGTGATTTTTAAATGCAGAAGGGCTGTGCTTAGGTGCTGCTTTAGCTGGCTGATTGTATTTCAGTTTGATAACCCCAGTCGTGCCAGTGCATGTGGGGCTGGGTCTGTTGCAGCATGACTTGAGACGAGCAGCGAGGGCACTCCTCGAGGCAGCACAGGGCCAGCTGCAGGAGGAACTGCTGCTGTGGGATCATTTTCCAGCCAGTGCTGCTGAGCTCAGGGCTTGTCTCAGCTGGGGTTTCATGGTCTCTGGCCTGTCTGTCCCCACAGATCACCCTGTACAGCATGTACGTGGCCATCATGGCCTTCAACGCCAAGGTCAGCGACCCGCTCATCGGGGGCACCTACATGACCCTGCTCAACACCGTGTCCAACCTGGGGGGCAACTGGCCCTCCACGGTGGCCCTGTGGCTGGTGGACCCCCTGACAGTGAAGGAGTGTGCCGGGGCCCAGGGCCACACCTGTGCCACTGCAGCGGCCACAGAGGTGAGTCTGGGGGCTGGGGGCTCAATGTCTCAATTAAATGGCTTCTTGCAGTACCTTTTTGCCTTTGGAAACCTTCACAGTGTATGGCTTGTGCTCACAAATTCCTAGTGATGGAGCTCATTTTCCTGAGTGATAAAACCCAGTCTGTTGGCAGCTGCACACTCTTGAGTGACCACCCCTTACCCAGGGTTTGCAGCTGCAGAGCAGTGAGCCCTTTCTTCTGTGCTGAGCTGGGGTGGAAGCCCCAGACTGGTGCCACGTTCCCTGCAGTGTAGGGAACTGTAGGTGTGGTTTTGAGCTGTGTAGTCAGGGGCTCTGTCCCCCAGGGCCCTCAATTTCTGTGGTAGGTTTTTCTTCCTCCTGTTTCCCTGGAGGCTTCTTATCTGCCTGCCTTGATACCTTCTCCAAGATGCTGCTCTGCTCTCTGATTTTGGTGTCCACTTTCCCCATGAAATCAAGTAGGACTGGCTGCCTGCCCAGTTCTGGGAACCCTGTGGAAGAGAACAAAGAACTTGCTGTACACAGATCAAACAGCAGGACACAAAACTGCTGGGAAAGCAACATTTCAAATTCACCTCCTCACTGCAAATGAGACATTTGACATAGCTGAAGAGTGGGAATGTTTGGGATTTTTTTTTCTGTGCTCATGGCTGAGATTTATTTCATTCCTGGATGCCAGGACGCTCTAGGACATGAATGTTCTCTAAATGATCACAGTGTTCTGGAGTCCAGCATGACTTGTCTGAACTGGAGCTGCAGTTTTTCTTGGTGCAGAGGGGAAGCTGCTTCAGCAGCAGATGCTTTCTCAGCCTCGCTCATTAGCCTGTCACTAATTAGGTTCCTTGTGTCTCAGCCTCTACTGAACTTGAGTCCTTCCTCCTTCACCTCACTGCTCTGATCTTTTCTCACATCCTCCTAGTTGGTGACATTCCACCACCACCACTCCCTTCTTATTCCTAATCTGATTTTGACATGTCTCAGCATAGTGAAAATGCTGGCAGAGCCTCAGATCAGAGGATTGATTAATCCTGGGATTAGAGCAGTGTTGAAAGCCAAACAATAGCAGAAGCAATTTTGGGCTGTACAATCACCCTGCGAATGCTGGGTGTTTGTCTTCCAGTTCAAAACCATCCTGGGCGTGTTTCTTCCAGATACAGAATCACAGAATCCTGGAATGGTTTGGATTAGAAGGACAAAAAGCCCTTCTAGTGCTACCCCTGCCATGGGCAGGGACACCTTCCACTATCCCAGGTTGCTCCCAGCCCCCTTCAGCCTGGCCTTGAACATTTCCAGGATGGCTAGGGAGAAAAATCATCTTTCTCTGGGAGGCTGGGAGCAGTGGTTGCCCCTGCAGGCCAGCAGGGACAGTGGGGCTGTGTGTGTTTTCTGGAGTTTGCCCTTTGGGCTGACTGCTCCATTTCCCACGTGTCTAGAGCAGGTTTGGTGCTTTGTTACTTTTCATGCCTCTGCTAAGCTCGAAAGCCTCTCTGACCAGCTGCATGGGAAACAACAAAGAGTAAACAACTGCATGAGTCCTGCCCAGGAGCAGGGAGAGCCCTGCAGCTCGGGAGTGCTCAGTGCATGGCCCTGTGCTCTGTTTCAGCTGTGCACAGCAGCTGGGGGCTCCTGCATCACCACCCTGGACGGGTACTACGTGGAGTCTGTCATCTGCGTCATCCTGGGCTTTGCCTGGTGGTTCTTCCTTGGACCAAAGTTCAAGAAGCTGCAGGATGAAGGACAGTCTTCGTGGAAGTGCAGGAGGAGCAATTGATGCACTTAGGTGTTGGATGGACCAGCAAGGTGATTTTAGTTTTATTACAAAGACATGTCCCATAATCAGCACCCCGGAATCTCGGTGTTCCTGTGCCACGCCAGGGAGATGTGCGTGGCCGAGGCAGGGCTGTGTGTGGCACCACTGCCCTCCCCACAGCACGGGCACTTCAGAAAGGAATGGCTAAAGCAGCACCTCCGTGCTCCATGCTTCCCCCTGACTCCAGAGCTGCTGACTCCACAGGGCACCTCTGGGAAAGCTCCTGGGGCCCTGGCTGTAGAGGCAGCAGCATTGCCAGCTGAGTGCCAGCTTTTATTTTCACACAGAAGTGGTCTGACGGGGCAGCTGACCTGGGGAAGGATGCCCAAGGCATTCTGACTTGCAGGTTAACCATGGTACTGTGGAATTCCTTGTGGGAAGATCAGTGTGAGATGTCCATGGGCTTTGCTTCTCACTTTCTGAATTGTAACCGCGCCTCAAAGGATGAAATGTTCGGAGATTCTTTTAAATGTATTTTCTGGCTTTTATAAGCTTTAAAGATTTATAAGAAACTATTTTTATAAGCAAATTACATTTGTTTAATTTATTTCCGCTGTTTCAAGGCAGTTTGATTTACGTTCAAGGTACTTTCTTGACAACAAAATGCTGTAAGGTAGGACTGGAATAACGCACAATCCTCTGAGCCTTGAGTCCTGCAGCTGGAACTGGAGGTGCTTCCCAAGGGAGGGCACGTGGACCTTTGGAAGGAGTGAGTTGATAGGGGAAAACCAATCCATTGGTTTTCCAAACTGTATTACTAAAATTTGAAGATTGCAGTGGGATCACCGAGACTTCCCCCAGGCGGGGGTGAGAAGAGGGAGTTGGTGATGACAAAGTTGCCAAATTCCCAGGGAGCTGCTGCAGGACTCACCCTCACACCGGTGAAATGGGCTCGGTCCTGGGGCAGGGCTGCTGCAGAGTTCACTGCTGGTGCCACGTGGTGGAAATATTCCTGCTGGATTTCTCCCACTGAGCTCCCTCCTGAGTGCCTTAGGGACCCACAGGTGCTGGAGAGGCACTCGGACCCTGCTGGGTGCGCGTGGAGCGTTGGTATTAAAAAGGAAAACTATTAAACATCCCTTGGAAAGGTGCTCGACGTTCCCTGCCACGTCTCTTGTCCGTGTTTGAAGGACTGGGCTGGAGGGGGTTGGGATTTTCTGCTCCTGTGTGTTTTGTGGGGAAAGTGGCCCAGTGTCACCCCTGGAGTGCTGGGGGTGGCTGGGTGTACCAAGGGTCTCCTTGGCCTCGGGGGACGGAGGGACTGGATGAGGACACTGACCTCATGCTTCCCTGGACACGTCCTCCTGTCCTCTGTCCCCTCCCTTGAGGGTCACACCTCGCAGTTTGCTTCAAGCACAGCAAAACCACTCATGCTAGGTGAAATCACAAGGGTTTTACTGCCCAAGCAGAACGTCTTCCAATTTCCCCTCTGCATAAGAACAAAATCAACATAAAAATAAATCAGATTTATGGCTGCACCTTTCAGTCCCTGTCCCACCAGCTCCACTGCATTAACTCTGTGAGACACTTCAGTTCTGTATCCTCTCTGGAACCATGGGCTGCTTATTTAATTACATCTTGCATACCTAGAGGGGTTGTTTTAACTTTTCTGATTGTGAGGAAAAACTGCAAGTGCAGAAGCTGAGAAATTATATTTGCTGTGTATTAGATTTGGGTTTTACTTTGACATTTTTTTTTCTATGTCTAAAGGTCACAGTGAAACTTCTCACTAATAAAGATGGGTTAAGGATTAACTCAATAATTAGATTATCAACAATATCAAAATTGCATATAAAATCCAAATAGGTAGGCATAGATACGTTACTTGAAATAAATGTGTCCTTTTTCAAACTGGTGAAATAAGTTATGGATTAGTGCTTTTAATTTCAGTAGCTATTTGTAAGTTGGAAATGTTGCTGCTGTGCCAGCCCGTTAGCAGGCTGCTGAAGAGCGCCCATAAAATTTTGATCTTGCTCTGTTCAAAAGTGATTTTTCTTTTTAACATTAGAATTATTATGGATTTAAGCATCTTTAACATTAAACAAACATAAAGCAACCCCCAAACCAACAAGAATAACAAACCAAACAAATTTGAAATGCCAAGAAGAAAGGAG